TTCCCTTTATTTAAATGTTGTTATGTTACAGCCTTATTCTAAAATGGATTAAATAAATAATAATCCTCAGTAATCTACACACATTACCCCATAATGACAAAGCGAAAACAGTTTTTTTAGACATTTTAGCAAATGTATTAAACTTTTAAAACAGAAATACCTTATTTACATAAGTATTCAGACCCTTTGCTATGAGACTCGAAGGTGTATCCTGTTTCCATTGATCTTCCCTGAGATGTTTCTACAACTTGATTGGAGTCCACCTGTGGGAAATTCAATTGATTGGACATGATTTGGGAAGTCACACACCTGTCTATATAAGGTCCCACAGCTGACTGTGCATGTCAGAGCAAAAACCATGCCATGAGGTCGCAGGAATTGTCCGTAGAGCTCCGAGACAGGATTGTGTCAAGGCACAGATCTGGGAAAGGGTACCAAAAAATTTCTGCAGCATTGAAAGTCCCCAAGAACAGAGTGGCCTCCGTCTTTCTTAAATGGAAGAAGTTTGGAACCACCAAGGGTCTTCCTAGAGCTGGCCACCCGGCCAAACTGAGCAATCAGGGGAGAAGGGCCTTGGTCAGGGAGGTGATCAAGAACCCAATGGTCATTCTGACAGAGCTCTAGAGTTCCTCTGTGGAAATGGGAGAACCTTCCAAAAGGACAACCATCTCTGCAGCACTCCACCAATCAGGCCTTTATGGTAGAGTAGCCAGATGAAAGACACTCAGCCCGCTTGGAGTTTGCCAAAAGGTACCTAAAGACTCTCAGACCATGAGAAACAAGATTCTCTGGTCTGATGAAACCAAGAATTAACTCTTTGGCCTGAATGCCAAGCGTCACGTCTGGAGGAAACCTGGCACCATCCCTATGGTGAAGCATGGTGGTTGCAGCATTATGCTGTGGGGATGTTTTTCAGTGGCAGGGACTGGGAGACTAGTCAGGGTTGAGGAAAAGATTAATGGAGCAAAGTACAGAGAGATCCTTGATGAAAACCTGTTCTAGAGCGCTCAGGACGTCAGACCTGGGCGAAGGTTCACCTTCCAACAGAACAACGCAGGAGTGGCTTCGGGACAAGTCTCTGAATGTCCTTGAGTGGCCCAGCCAGAGCCCGGACTTGAACCCGATCGAACATCTCTGGAGAGACCTGAAAATAGCTGTGCAGCAACGCTCCCCATCCAACCTATCAGAGCTTGAGAGGATCTGCAGAGAAGAATGGGAGAAACTTCCCAAATAGAGATGTGCCAAGCTTGTAGCGTCATAACCAAGAAGACTCGATGCTGTAATCGCTGCCAAAGGTGCTTCAACAAAGTACTGAGTAAAGGGTCTGAATACTTATGTAAATGTTATATTTCTGTTTTTTATTTTTAGTACATTTGCAAAAATGTCATTTGTCATTATGGGGTATTGATTAGGGGAAAAAAACAATTGAATACATTTTAGAATAAGGCTGTAACGTAACAAAATGTGGAAAAAGTAAAGGGGTCTGAATACTTTGAAAGCACTGTAAGAGTAACTTTCCTTGTTTGAGGTCAATTGGCTATTAATAGCATATATAAGCACATTCTGAACATTTTGACTTTTCATAAGAAAGTCATGCTGATTGTGATGATCCTGTTTGTACCAAGGACCGTACATGGGGCATATATTGGCCACACAATCTACATTTCATCAATGCTTTACTGTTTCACTTACTTATTTTACATTTCTGTGTCATGATGAAGGTACATTTTATAATTTCAGTTAACCTTAAAAAAATCGACATATCAATAGACCAGCAAATCAATCAATCAAAACCAATCAATCAATGGAGTCAACGGTGTCAAAATGTAAAATATGATTGATTCTTCTGAGGCAAAATCTATATTCTTCGGTGACATAACTAAATCAAGAACATTTAATCAACTTTACAACTTTAGTTTACAATATATATAGTAATAATAATATAATAATAATAATAATATGTCACATACAATAGGCATACAATTGGAAATTGTAATGGAAATTCTTTATGCACGAGGTAATGATCAATAGGCCAGATTCAAGTGTTTATAATGTTGATGGAATTAGCAGCAGGCTATTTGATTTTGGGAAGGGATTTATAGGCAGTCTAAGCATTGCGCAGTGGATTTGGGTTATTTGCCAAAGTGGAAGTCTGCTTTTTTTATGGTTTTCTTTTTGTTGTTTTTGAGGGGAAAATATTGTGGACAAAAAGGTCCACATAGCCTATCAATTGGGGGAAACGATAGGTTGGTCTCCACCACAAATACAGTCTCCAGTGTCCTCTGCTGGTCTGCTGCAGACATGACAGCGTGCGCGGCGTGCTCAAGAAATCTACTACACTAAATGCAACAGCGCACTCCGTTGGTCAAATCATGCACAATTAGGCTACAGCTGGCTCGAGAAATGCGCTATTCAAACTCCTTGCCAAATGTTAATTGCGTGCAAGGTCCTGCACAATACCCACTGCAGAGTAGACTAATAGCCTACTTTTATTATTATGATTATGATGATTAGTTTTACTGATTAGGCTAATAGCCTACGTAAGGGCAGAGGAACATTGTCTTGGAATGTATTATAATTACAGTATCATCCACGATGTATTGAAGATTCAAAAAGGCCTTAGCCTAATTAGAGAAATTGGTCCAGATTCTGCTGTTACTAGAAACACACACAGAGACGATTTACGATCAAGGCTTATTTATTTATTTTTCTTCCAAAAACCAAATAGCGAAAAATACAAACGGAGGCAAAAAAATTAAATAAAAAATGTGCGAGTAGGCAGTACAAAAAAATAAGTAGGTAAACCTATAGTTGTGAACAAGTAATACAAATATAATTGTATAAAAAAGAAAGTTAAACAAATGTAAAACGTTATAAAATCCAATTGCTAAGAAAATCCTATATTAAAGGTGTAGGGGGGAATTGATGTAAAAAGTGAAATACAAATTGAGACACCAATGAGTATACAAAAGATTAAGAACAACCTGCTCTTTCCATGACAGACTGACCAGGTGAATCCAACTGAAAGCTATGAGCCCTTATTGATGTCACTTGTTAAATCCACTTCAATCAGTGTAGATGAAGGGGAGGAGACAGAAGGATTAAAGAAGGATTTTCAAGCCTTGAGACAATTGAGACATGGATTGTGTATGTGTGCCATTCAGAAGGTGAGGCAACTCAATATTAAGAAGCTGTCCCTAATGTTTGGTATACTCAGTGTATTTTTGTATTCTGGACTTCCATTAAAAAAAAATCATTTATGCATCACTACTACTGTAGAATAATGTCATATATTATAATCATTTTGGTATACCTATATTACAATGCAAATTCTTTATTAGATCCATAGTCCATTCTGTCACTTTCTAGTTACCAACCAATCCAAAAAGGGTGACCACTGAACAGGCATTTTCACCTTGCCTACCACCTTACACACCTCAGTAAAAGCACTCATAAAACCTTTATTCAAGAAAATAAACAATCTTTCATTTCAGAAATGTAGTACCTTTATTGGATAGTTACAGTAGCTACCATTTATAGTTGCCTTCTCATGAACATTACAGCTGTTATTGACCTCAACGATAATGTTGCTGTTACCAAATATTTTGTTGAGAATTATCTGTCTGGTCAATACATATTATTATCTTTACACTCAAAATGATCACCACAACATACAGTGTAACAAACAAGTTGTTATGAGGGAAACATCTTTGGATTAAAATTCGGAACAAATTGTTAACTGTTAACACATTACTAAAATCTGGTTGAAGTTAGCCAGTAAGACCATAATTTAAAACAACATTATCCTGATAAGTGTGCAGTAGGCCTAGTCACAGCTAGGTGTCTGACGTCTAATGTATCAATGTTGTGTGTCAAGTTGGTCAACTGTTAACAGTGTTGAGATCCATACCGTTATCTGTTAACAGTGTTGAGATCCATACCGTTATCTATGTGAAAACTACTGAAATTTGAATTGAATAAAAAGACACTATCAAAAATACTCTAGCGTAAATAAAGGTTGTGTAGAAATCTTGATCTATTGTACTGAATTAAACTGGAGTCCTGTATCAGAATTGTTTTAGCACCAATCAGCTGACTGATACAATCAATAAAGGACACTTCAGAGAGATAAGTGTATTTTAGAATGAAATGGGTGAATTAATCATTTTACAGTGATATGGGTGACTTTCGGCATTTCATAAATGATTGTGATGAGACAACATATTCCTACTGTGTCACTGCAACTGATCAATTATCAATGATATATAGAATGACATATATTGCTTGTACAGTAATAAGTAACAAATGCATATGAACAAAAAAGAAGCTACAATAATGAACTACGGTAAAGTAATACACTCTTGCTTATCTAGTGGCAGTAAAATACACAAAATGAATGGAAGTGGGATTATTGCTGAGTTGGGTTTGTGTATTGAGCTATTACAATGGGAATTGCTTATTCTGTCATGTGAATATTATCTGAGATTGATTTCAACCAACACTGTAACAAAAAAACGGACTCTTGTGCATAAAGAACTGTATGTGAGTATAGCATCACAATGAATTCCTTTCTGTTTCAAGAAAAGATGCATTAGGATTGTGACAAGTGCTGGGTTTCATGCCGACATGTGCACATACAGTCCATACAGAGAGAAAATTACAATCACTCTCTCACACACAAATACACACAGACAGACTCACACACACACACACACACACACACACACACGAACACACACATATACACAGATATCAACACTTGTGGTGGAATGGCTGAGGAGCTGGTTGAAGCGGTGCTGCTAAATTCGCCAAAAGTATCTAACAGTGGTCACTTTGTTTCACCAGAGGGGGGAGAGGATCCCAAAAGAGAAGACTTTGGTGATACCTTGAGGGTAAAACAATATTGTAAATCATCACCTGATGGAACCACACGTGAGTGTGTGTTGTTTGTTTGTTTTTGATCAAATGTGTACGGAAATTCTCTGTTTGACAACACTTACAGGGGAAGGAGGCTTGGCGAAGTTGAGGTGAGCGTAGAGAAGCACAGCGATGTCATTCTGACTGGCCTCAAGGGCTATGGACAGGGCTGAACTGCCATCCTAGTGGAGAGAGAGATCGATAATAACCAGAGGTTGGTTGCCAAAGAGAGAGAGAGTGAGAAAGGCAAGAGAAAGTAGGTCAGGCTGAGGGAGGGATGAGAGACAGGGTTGGGAACTGGTTCACGGAGCTGCACCACAGAGAGAGAGAGCAAATTAGAGAGTACAGAGAGACAAAGACAGAGGAGAAAGTAAAAACAAACCTGTATAGACATAGGAGACAGACTCACAGACACTGTATAGACATGGGAGACAGACTCATAGACACTGTATAGACATGGGAGACAGACTCACAGACACTGTATAGACATGGGAGACAGACTCACAGACACTGTATAGACATGGGAGACAGACTCACAGATACTGTATAGACATGGGAGACAGACTCACAGACACTGCATAGACATGGGAGACAGACTCACAGACACTGTATAGACATGGGAGACAGACTCACAGACACTGTATAGACATGGGAGACAGACTCACAGACACTGCATAGACATGGGAGACAGACTCACAGACACTGTATAGACATGGGAGACAGACTCACAGACACTGTATAGACATGGGAGACAGACTCACAGACACTGTATAGACATGGGAGACAGACTCACAGACACTGTATAGACATGGGAGACAGACTCACAGACACTGTATAGACATGGGAGACAGACTCACAGACACTGTATAGACATGGGAGACAGACTCACAGACACTGCATAGACATGGGAGACAGACTCACAGACACTGTATAGACATGGGAGACAGACTCACATACACTGCATAGACATGGGAGACAGACTCACAGACACTGCATAGACATGGGAGACAGACTCACAGACACTGTATAGACATGGGAGACAGACTCACAGACACTGTATAGACATGGGAGACAGACTCACAGACACTGTATAGACATGGGAGACAGACTCACAGACACTGTATAGACATGGGAGACAGACTCACAGACACTGCATAGACATAGGAGACAGACTCACAGACACTGTATAGACATGGGAGACAGACTCACAGACACTGCATAGACATGGGAGACAGACTCACAGACACTGTATAGACATGGGAGACAGACTCACAGACACTGTATAGACATGGGAGACAGACTCACAGACACTGTATAGACATGGGAGACAGACTCACAGACACTGTATAGACATGGGAGACAGACTCACAGACACTGTATAGACATGGGAGACAGACTCACAGACACTGCATAGACATAGGAGACAGACTCACATACACTGTATAGACATGGGAGACAGACTCACATACACTGTATAGACATGGGAGACAGACTCACAGACACTGCATAGACATGGGAGACAGACTCACATACACTGTATAGACATGGGAGACAGACTCACAGACACTGTATAGACATAGGAGACAGACTCACAGACACTGTATAGACATAGGAGACAGACTCACAGATACTGTTAGACAGGGAGTAGGGAAAACGGGGTGGGAAAACAACCAAATAAAATGTAAAATCCTAGAAGCTTGGGAGTAGTTTGTTGACTTACATTATCAGTGAGGGTGACATCACAGCCTGGCACAGACAGCAGCTGACGAACGATGTCGACGTGGCCGTGTTCGCAGGCACACATGAGTGCCGTGGAGCCGTCATCATCGCGGATGTTGACCTGTGCCCCGCAGGAGAGCAGCGCCCGTACCATGTCCCCTCGGCCGTGACTCACCGCCAGCATCAACGCCGTCTGACCCGCCTAACAACACACAACAGTTACCGGTTAGGAGGGCCTCGAGTTTTACCAGTCTCCTGACCATGTGACCTTCTGACCTGGAAAAACTCCAGGCAGTAGTTATAAGAGCTGGCCGAACACCCAGTCAGCTTTTCTTACACAAAATTACAAAACCATTGGAGGTTAAACAAAAGACATGTCCTGGCCCAACATAACCAATTGTGAATTTTCATTCCATCAGAACATAGATAGAATGTGGAGCTATCAACAACATACATGCAAAGGAGCTATCTAACTGAAGTAGCTCAAATAGCCATTTTGTCAGGGGCTTGGGAGGGACGTCATTGGTTTGCCTGAGCTTGGCTGTGTGCAGGGAGCCCTGCTGTCCATCAGGGGGCATAGTGTACCTGGCTGGCCTTGGCATTCACGTCCCCTGTGCGCAGCAGCTGCAGGACTGTGTGAAGGTCACTGTCAGAGTGGAAGGCAGCCAGAGCTGTCAGCATGATGGCAGTGTAGCCTGCCTTGTTTTGCTTGTCAGCATTGCACAGGCCTGACAGGGAGCGAGAGAGAGCAGGACACGTTTATTATGGGAATTATATTCCTAAACCATTCCACTAACAGTCATGCAGTACATAAAGGTTATACATACAGTCAATTGTATCTATGGCCCTTTGGCAGACCACAAGTCTGTGTTAGATATATACATTCATACAGTGCTGATCCATATACTGTACAAACAAACCAAACACTTACTTGCCCACCATTCAAACCACCATTCTCTGTCTGTAAACACTCACATCCCCCAGTCACTCACCAGTGTCCAGCAGCAGCTTGACCACAGGGAAGTTGGAGTGGGAGACGGTGTAGTGCAGGGCCGTGTTGCCGTTGCCGTCAGCCATATTGACCACAAACTTCAGCAGCTGTTGGGAGACGGACGAGAAGGTGTCCATATAGGCCCTGACAGCGGCAGTGTCAGCTGCCTTGTGACAGGACACACGCAGCCACTCCTGGAGCACTGTGGTGTAGGCTGTCCTCTGGGGAGGGAAAACACAGACTGGTCTCAGACTAACAACCAGACAGGACTGGTCAAAGACTAACTCACACTGTTTATGATACACTTACAGTACCAGTCAAAAGTTTGGACACACCTACTCATTCCAGGGTTTTTCTTTATTTTTACTATTTTCTACATTGTAGAATAATAGTGAAGACATCAAAACTATGAAATAACACATATGGAATCATGTAGTAACCAAAAAAGTGTTAAACAAATATATTATATATTTGAGATTCTTCAAAGTAGCCACCCTTTGCCTTGATGACAGCTTTGCACACTCTTGGCATTCTCTCAACCAGCTTCATGAGGTAGTCACCTGGGATGCATTTCAATTAACAGGTGTGACTTGTTAAAAGTTAACCAGCATGGCTACCACAGCATTCTGCAGCGATACGCCATCCCATCTGGTTTGCGCTTAGTGGGACTATCATTTGTTTTTCAACAGGACAATGACCAAACACACCTCCAGGCTGTGTAAGGGCTATTTGATCAAGAAGGAGAGCGATGGAGTGCTGCATCAGATGACCTGGCCTCCACAATCACCCAACCTCAACCCAATTGAGATGGTTTGGGATGAGTTGGACCGCAGAGTGAAGGAAAAGCAGCCAACAAGTGCTCAGCAAATGTGGGAACTCCTTCAAGACTGTTGGAAAAGCATTCCAGGTGAAGCTGGTTGAGAGAATGCCAAGAGTGTGCAAAGCTGTCATCAAGGCAAAGGGTGGCTACTTTGAAGAATCTCAAATATATAATATATTTGTTTAACACTTTTTTGGTTACTACATGATTCCATATGTGTTATTTCATAGTTTTGATGTCTTCACTATTATTCTACAATGTGGAAAATAGTAAACATAAAGAAAAACCCTTGAATGAGTAGGTGTGTCCAAACTTTTGACTGGTACTCTATGAATGTAGGCCTAACAGCTTTAGCTTAATGGGATAACCCAGTATTGTAAAGTGCAGGTTTTTGAACCCGAGTTCAAATCCCGGTCGGTTACATGAACACAATCATGTAGAAAGTGACTATATGAAATGGCTGGTCACAGATTAAGTAATCTAAACTGGCATGGTGGGCAGAGTAAAAGAGAATAGCATACCGCTCCTTGCTGGCTGAAAGCATTTGGTTCACCCAGGGCTTTCTGCAGGGCATGGAGAGATGCCATCAGGCTCTCACTCAACTCCAGTCTGAGGGAGATGAAAGAAAACACAGCAAATTCAAGCAAACACATACAAACACAATATCATACTGCACATGAGATCACTGATGGAATGACAAATCTACAGATGTTGGCTTTAAAATGGTTATGCTGGTTTACCTGGTTTGTTGATTGGCTGATGAAGTAGCATTTGAGGCGTTTTCAGGTGCTGGCGTCGAGGCTGATGATTGGATTATCCTCTGCTGGGAGCTTTGTTCAGTGGCTGAGGATTGGGTAGCCCCATGCTGAGGGGCGAGGTCAGTAGTTTGTGATTTGATGGCATCTAGCTGAACGGTGACATCAGTGGTACTTGATTGGGTGACACCCTTCTTTACTTCCGGGTTAGTGGCTTCTGGTTGGCATCTGGGTGGCTTGGGGGGTGCAGAACAGGTAGGTGCTGATTGGACGGTGCACTGCTCAGGTGTAGTGGGTTCAGTGCTTGTATTTATGGAGGTACTCTCCTGAGGGATGGGGTCTGGGACCGATGATTGGGCAATACTCTCCTGACGGACACAGTCATTGGCTGGAGACGGGTAGGTACTCTCAGTGGGGGCGGAGTCAGAGTCTGGTGGCTGAGAGGCACATTGCTGCATGGCAGTGTTCAAGGCTGGTGATACGGTGGCTACATGCTGTAGTCCTATGCTTATGGCTGCTGATTGGCTGGTGCTCCGCTCAGAGGCAGGTTCACAGGCTGGTGGTTGGATGGTAGTGGCTGGGAGCGGGGTGGCCTGCTCTACCTTTGTGGAGGAGACTGGGACTGCTGCTGCTTGCTGGTGCTGTCCTGCTGCACCCTCTGCTGCTGCTGCTGGTAGTTTATCTGTGGTCTCATGGTATTCACTGGCATCACTCTCCTCTGAACTCTCACTGCTACTGTCGTCTGAGGAGGTGGACTCATACCTGCAGGACAGGACAGGGGGAACTCATCTATCACACACATCAACTCACAATCTCTGTAGTGTAACATGAATACACTGTTACACATAAACAATGTCATACACTATCAATAACACACATACCCTCCATTGACTCCAATGAACTGCAGGTTCTTCTTGGTGGATGGAGAGCCATGTTCTACCTCTGCCTTATGTTTCATAATGGACCTCAGGGCGGTCTGGGGAGAGGCTGCTGCAGCTGGAGAGGACACCCAATGTTGCCACAATGTTATGTTACGTCAGGGACAGTTAGCGGGAGGGTTAAGGTAAGGAGTTGTACTAATGGTCCATAGTTACCTGGCTTTGATGGGTCTTCTTGAGACTGGACTGTGTTTATGGCAGTGTGCTGGGGTGTCTCTCCTTCCTTCAGATGCAGTAAAGCCATCTGATTACCAATGGTATCAATGGCGATGGCAGGATTAGTGACAGGAACAGAGGTGGACAGCTCACTTCTTAGGACCTCTCTGACCTGTTTGGATGAGATGGCGATGGGCAGCTCAACAGGTGCATCTGGAGGAATGGAAAGGAAGAGGACAAAAGATGGAAGGGATCAACAATCAAAGAAAACTCATGGTTTTTCAACCAAACAACTTATTGTTATAGAAAACATTTTACAATTTAGAAGACACTCTTATCCAGAGCGACTTACATGAGCAATTAGGGTTAACTGCCTTGCTCAAGGGCACAGACAGAGTTTTTACCTAGTCGGGTCAAGGATTCGTACCAGCGACCTTTCGGTTACTGGCCCAACGCTTTTAACCACTAGACTACCTGCTGCCCCATTTAAACCTACTTCATTTAATTTGATATCACTTTTAACTTATCACTGAAGTCAGACCTACCCTCTGGGCCCAGGGCCTGTGCATGTCCTCTGTGAGTTCCCTCCAGGACTGTACCACCTGGAGGGAGGGAGGGGGAGCTGCACCTCTCTGCTCGGAGCAACGTGCCCACCCCCACCACAGTGGCTGGTTGCTCCAGCGTGTACACCTGGATTCCCACAGTCCTCTGCGCCCGGTGATAGGGCTGCTGGGTAAAGCTGACTACCGTCTGCAGGCTGCGTCCCTGCTGTTCTTGCCAGCTCAGACTGCTAGCCCTGACCGAGTGGTTTGCCTGAGGGGCCTGAGCTGCCTGAGCCTGCCTCTCCCTCTGAGCTGCCTGCACCTCCTGCATTGTCCTCTTCAGCTGGCCCTCCAGCTGGCCCACTTGGCTCTTCAGGGCCTCTGTCTCCGGCACCAGCCCCAGGTCCTGCTCCTGCACCCCAACGCCCACATCCACCTGCCGGCTACCCCTCGTCTCCTCTGGTCCCACCCCAATGGTACGCACTTCCCTCCGCCCAGCCGGCCGCGCTCCACCCACGATCACTGTGTCCTCGATCTCACAGCCTGAGTCTGCCTGCGGCCTGGAGCCCTCGGGGGTGGTGGGGGTGGTGGGGGACAGAGGCCCTGCAGCAGCCCTGGTGGTGGCTCCAGCTCCAGAGCTCACCTCCTCCTCTGGGATGTCGATGTAGAGCTCCCCTCGGGGCCGGCCCGCTCTGCCGAAGCCCAGGGTGTGTCCCAGGAACTTCTGGCTCTTCAGCTGGACACTTAGCTGCCTCTTCTCCTCCTGCAGCACAGAAATCTTCACCTGGAGCACAGGGATGGTCTTCACCTGCTCCTCCAGCTCTCGGATCTTCCTGAGAGCCACCGCCATCTGCTCTCTCACATGCTGCAGGTGGGCCGGGGTGGGCGACACAGGTGTGGAGAGGCCTGAGCTCATGGGGGTGAAGGAGCCCGTTCCTCCTCCATGGGTGCGGTTGTAGCTGTGGGCGCTGCTCAGGGAGGTGGTGGATCCGGCCATGCTATTGTGCATGCTACCCAGTGTGCTGGAGAACCTCCTGGGGGCGCCTTCTTTCTCTTCCTCCAACTTCCTGCGGGCATCCAGCAGGGTCTTCTCCACCCGGGCCGTGCTGAAGCTGGGCCTCTGGGAGTGGGAGCTATGTGGGTGGTAGCCTGGGGCGCAGTAGGAGAAGGATGATTGGCGGCTGTCCTGGCTGGTGTTGGAGCACAGGGACTCTGTGGAGGTCCACCAGGAGCCTGTGTAGCCGTACCCCCGGGGGAGAGACCCGTAGCGGGGCCGGCGCTGGACGGGCACCTTCTTGATGGTGTTGCCCTTCTCGATGTCGTTGACATACTTGAGGAAGTCCAGGTCCAGACGGTAGCCGTAGGGGGTCTCCACAGAGTAGGGCGCCTCCTGCTCCTTCCCGTGCAGGGAGGGGGGAGCGGATGGGATAAGCTTCCCTGCAGGCAACAGGAAATATAGTTAAAACAAGCGGAAATCTGCCGTCTAATCTTGGACTCAGACTTCAGAAAATAGCATTATCTCTCAGGGATACTGAGTGTTTGGGTATGTACTCTAATAGTAGGTCCCACAAAGTATGATAAATAAAGTAGTAGGTTATAGCCAGACCTTGATGGATGTAAGATATCTAAAGTCCTTAGGTTGATCTAAGTTATTTTGGATGTTAAATACTTTAGGCCAAGGCCGATTAAGTTAAATCCTGGACTAAAAAGTATGCCCAATGGAGAATCTCTGTTGAAATGACTTTTTAGTCTTAATCTGTGTCTTGGAAAGAGTCCCTACATGAGAAATTGATTATCCACTCACATGATAGTTTGTGGGAGATGATTCAGTATTATGATGTTAAGAAATAGAAAGAGTAAAGTTAGGACCATACCTCCTGGGAAGCTGGGGTCCATGTGCAGCACCTGAGCCATGATGTCACACGTTTACCCACAAAACCTCACCTGGGGGAGAGGAAGACACATTAAAACAAACCTATCAAACACTTCCACAACACAGTCAGAACTCCTAATGGAGCAACCCACTGCAAGATGGTTGCCAATACCGTAAACACAATGGGGGGGGATACCATAGATACACCAACAGGGGAAAGGCCAATGAGTACACTCATTGAAAAAAAGGTGCTATCTAGAACCTTAAAGGGTTCTTCGGCTGTCCCCATAGGAAAACCCTTTGAATAACCTTTTTTGGCTACAGGTAGAACTATTTTCATTCCAGGTGGAATCCTTTCTATAGAGGGTTCTACATGGAACCCAAAAGGGTTCTACCTGGAACCGAAAAGGATTCTACCTGGAACCAAAAAGGGTTATTCTATGGGGACAGCCGGAGAACCCTTTTGGAACCCTTTTTTCTAAGTGTAGGGCCACAATGACAACCCTTGTAGTTTAAGAGTCTCTCTTTCTCATGGGGGTGGAGAGTATAAACTGGGTTTGTATTGGTCAATATCCTGCTTTGTTGGGATGGCCTGAGAGTTTAATTGGTCATACTGTAGGATGGCCATATGGTGGGTTGGCTATATCTAACATCTTGTTTATGTCCCTAAGAATCTCTCTGTTTGATATTTAGCCTCAATCAATTTGCCATTTCTCTGCTTTTCTGTCTGCTTGTTTTCAGTGTTTCTTTCTGCTTGATAGTACATCTTTTGTTTGTTTCTGGTTCTAATATTCTGAGGAGGATAAGAGTTAGAAGGGGAAAGTTTCCTGGCAGCTTATTCCAGAAGAGAGAGGTTGGAGGCTGCCAGTTACAGCCTTATTAGGAATCATATGTGAACACTAACAGAGGTTCTCGATTTAGGGTTTACTTACACTCTCGCCCTTTCTTTCTCTCCCACTCTTTTTCCATTTCTTTCCCCCTCTCTGTTCCCTCTCTCCGTCTCTCCCTCCCTCCCTCCTCTTTCATTCTTTCTCTCCCCCTGTACTCGTCAGCTGATGATAAAGAGATTTCAGCTGACCACTGTCTCCCCCATCCCCCTTCCCTCTCCTCTTGCTCCCATACACTCAACACAGGATAGTACATTCACCACATTAAACACAATCAAAACAATGACCAAATGCACATTGGGATCGACACTGAGAAATCCAATGCATATTTCATGTTGTTGTGAATTTTCTTACTGTTAGCCTACTAGATGTCTTGCTATTGGCGTACTAGCATTTCTGTTTGGAAGTTAATAGTGATGACCAAGCCATTTGTCAGACACACTTTGCGGTTTCTGTCCGCTTGTGGCAAGCGGAAAGTGACATGCTGCCAGTGATGACATACTGCCCACAACGACGGGGTCTCTGATTCCGTGTGTCTCCCCGGCCGCTAAATGTTAACTTTCTAGGTCATTCATTTGTGGGAACTGGGGATGTACTGTTTCAGCATTACATCTCTTTCATTAGCCACTGGAGCTTGACCAGCTGAATCTGTAAAACAGACATCAAAAGTTTGGACCTGAATTGATTTTGTTCTCAGGGCATACTTAGTTCGTCTTAGTTCATGCCCAGTTTTCTGTTCTGTTCCATCAGCAGGAAATGAGTCTCTCTCTGCTCATTTCAATTTCTGTCTCTCCCCTCACTCGTCCTCTCCCTCTCTCTAATCTCATGACTCTCATCAGTGCCTGTTAATGCTCTGGCCCGTTTCAGGGAAAGTAGGGCACTTGAAAACATTGACTAAATTGACTTGGTATTTTTGAAGCCTGTATATATTTCTGTATACTGTAGCTCTCCCTATCTCTGTCTTTCTCACACTGATATGGCCACACACACAGACATGCACGCCCATGCAAACACACACACACACAGATACGCACACGAACAACACCCCCCCCCCCCCACACACAAAGAAGAATGTAAACAATTTGATATGATCAAAGAAACGTTGAAAAGGTGACCTCTGCAAAAAGATGGCAGGACATGTAGTGTTAGTATCAAAGTAGTTGCAACAAATCAAATGCCTTCTTAGGTGTATTGTGTAATGTGCATTGCCTGGTATGAGTACAGTATAAATGCTTATGTGAGCGTATCTGAAATATGGAATGTGAGTGTGTCAGATGTCTGTGAGAATGAACAGGAAGGTGGAGGTCTGGTTGACAAGGGGACAGTTGATGAGATATAATTAGAGTGTTCAGTTCAGACACACAGCGTGACAAACATCCCAGCCCTCAGCAACGACGACGGCCAAAACTGTCCTCTCCTCTCTACACGCTCTTTCTCTCTCTCTTTCTCCTTCTCATCCTAACTCTCCATTTTGTTTAATATTCCTTTATTTTCCTACTCACATCAAGTGAACACGTACTCTGTTACGATCCGCTCTCTCGTCTCTCTATTTAATGCTTTGCCTGCTGCTCCAATTCCTCCCCTCCCCCAAACCTTCTGCATCTGCCTCTACAACAGTGCCTCATTGGGTGTTTGTGTGTGTGTGTGCACATATGCTTGTGTGTGTGAGCGTCTGTGCCCACCCGTAAGTGTGTGTCTGCCGTGTCTGTGTGCTCCACCATGTATGTGGGTGACCTTACTCAAAAAATCTAATCAAATCAAATTGTATTGGTCACATACACATATTTAGCAGATGTTATTGTGGGTGTAGCGAAATGCTTGTGTTCCTAGCTCCAACAGTGCAGTAGTATCTAACTCCCTCTCTCTCTTGGCTGTAAACAGTGTTCCATTGAGATGATATTGAACAGAATCCAGTGTACCCCCCACTTCTCCTCAGCAGCACCAGCACAGCCAACCAACCATTCTTCAGTGATACACTCCCAGACCCAGACCTTAACCTCCTCCTCTCCTCCACCAGCCATTCTCTACCCTCCTCCAGGAGGAATGCGTTGCCCCAGACTGATGCCCCCTCCCCTCCTCCCCACATTCCAGACCAGCGGAAGTTAACATTGCCCGCCTCCAGGGTCCCCACTCCGACTAGTAAGATTAGAAATCAAGGGGAGAAAAACTCAGATCCTTCAAGCACAAAATAGGATGTCTCTGAGACTCCTGATGTCCTGTTGGATGCCAGAGTGGCTACGTGATTGCTGCTTTGCTACTTTTAATCATTGTGACTTGTTGCAACATTGATACACCGAAGCTGTTTCAGAATGTGCTAATATACCGCTACATTGTTATTACACAGTCCCTCACTAAAAGCTACTTTAGTGCCTCACCTGTATCAAAACTACATACCACACTTCTTACAACACATACACAAATCTTTGTGATCAGAGGAGGGTGACCACCACGGTTAGTAGGTAAGATACAGTAGGTTTAGTTCTGGGAGAAAACTCTCAGGGCTAGTCCTTCAACTTCAGTCAGGTGATAAAGATGAGCAAAAAAGACTGTATAAAATGAATAATACAAATACTGAGTTATATTGTATGCAGATGTTTTTTGGGAAAAATGATATTTTATACTAATACAATAGCTCAGAGAAAGAGAGGGGTCAAAAATTATTGGCACCCCCGTTTTCAATTGCTTTCAATACCTCACCTTGCGAGGATAATGGCAAGGTGATTTTTTATGAGATCGGAGAACACATTGGGAGGGATCTTACACCCTTTTTCCATAACTAATTTTTCCAGATCCTTTATCTGCTCTTATGGACTGCCCTCTTCAATTCAAACCACATGTTTTCAATGGGGTTCAAGTCCGGAGACTGAGATGGCCATTGCAAAATGTTGACTTTGTGGTCAATTAACAATTTCTTTGTGGCTTTTGATGTGTGCTTGGGGTTATTGTTTTGCTGGAAGATCAACTTGAGGCCAAGTTTCTGCCTCCAGGCAGAGGCAACCAGTTTTGTGGCCAAAATGGTAAAGTTATTTTGGATCTCAGTGCCGAGTTTGATAATATTGACTAACATCCCAGCTGGATAGTTGGGGGAATCTCCGCCGTTGCCCTCGCCTGGTTCAGGTCATATCTATGAGGCAGATGTTTCTCAGTGAGCATGGGTGATTCAGTATCACCCTAGCACCTATTCACTATGGTGTCCCACAGGGGTCAATTCTGGGCCCCATCCTTTTTCCCCTGTACATGCTTCCCCTTGGTGACATCATCCGCAATAATAACATTCAGTTTCACTGCTATGCAGATGACACAAAGCTTTATTTACCAATCAGACCCAGTGACCAAGCTAGCGTAGCTCCCCTTCACAAGTGTCTTGCTGACATCAAATGTTGGATGTCTGACAATTTTCTCCAGCTCAATGATAAGAAATCAGAGGTTGTTTTATTTGGCCCCGACCTTGCTAGAACCCAGATTGTGAATAACCTTAGTCATTTGTCCACCAATGTAAAGCCTACGGCCAGAAACCTTGGTGTTTTCTTTGACCCTGACCTAAACCTCGAGCTGCATGTAAAGAAAGTTGTCCAGTCCTGCTTTTATCATCTAAGAAATATAGCTAAAGAGATATAGCTGGAGAAAGTTATACACGATTTAATTTCCTCATGCCTAGATTACAGTAACTCTTTGTATAAATGTCTCAGTCAGAAATCACTCCATCGTCTATGGATTTGAACAGGCACCAGAAAATGTAACCATATTACACTTATTTTAGCTACCAGTCACTTTTAGAATAGATTACAAAGATATATTAATCACATTTAAAGGAAAGATTCACCCATTTTGAATGTTATATAATTTTTGGCCATCTCTGAGCGATGTTCTATCGATTCCTGGGGTCATTTCCTGTTTTGATGTGTATTTGATCTCTTGCCGTTCATGCAGACAGAAAGACAGCTGATATGATGTAGCATTGTGACCAGGGCTCTCACTACACTGGAAGTTAATAGGAAAATGACTTTTAGATCGCGAAAACGTCAAACATACATGTCAGATTTCAATACTGGCCAATGTCATAACGTGGGAGGTTGTCTTCTCTCGAATGAGCCATTTATAATATTTTTGCGATATTCCTACCTCCAGAAATGTGTAATTTAACAGAAGGTCCC